CTAGAAGATTACTCATGAATTTATCTTATATCAGTTAAGTCCATGTCTATTATGATGAATTGAGAGACCAGTATAAATATTCTAGTATGTCTTAACAATATTAATATATTCATGTTATTTATTTTATATCAGTAGTCAGTTTTTCTATTCCTTCCTCACTGTTGTCACCTTTGTTGTTTTAGAGAATGTTGGCTGTTCTAGCTCTGCTGCTGACAACTCTGGAAAAGCTCACTGGAGAACAGCTGAAGACATTTCAGTCTAAACTGAACGCTGACAGACAGGACACAGTGGGTCAGATGGTGAAGAAATACGGCCCTGAGAGAGCTGTGGGGAAAACACAGAGGATCCTGAGGGGGATGGACCAGAATGATCTGGCAGAGAAGTTAGAGATAGATTACAGACACAGAAGAGGTAACACCGTAAAACTGTGTTAAGAAAAATTTATCATAAACGTTCCTTCAAACAAAGACAACATGATTTAAATGAATAATTGTTGATGAACAGGACAATGTATTACGACAATTATACTGTTATCTCTCTTCACTTCCTCTTCTATACCTGTATCTACCACAGAAACATGGTGGAGCAACTCATCAGATGCTGACAGTGATGTATTTATATGTCTTCGGAGGAAGTGGCATAGGGCACTGGTAATGAAGGTAAGACTAGTAGCCATGTCTGAGAGGTCAAATGTCATTGCGAACAAACCACATATAGATCACAGCCACATGCAGTCTGAAGTAGTGATGGGTCATGCGCACAAGCATCGGCTCTGAGAGCCGGCTCTTTGTAGTGAATCAGAAGAGCCGGCTCGCATCGAGTGAGAGCCGGCTCCCAGTTTTTTGCCCATTCGCTGCTTAGGTTTCACTTTCACAGAGGTCTGTTATGATTGGCCAGCATGGCGACCAGCATGCGGCATTCACGTGAGAATTAAGGATGTGTAAACAGAGAGGGGGCGGGGCAGACACACCACTTGACTCCACTGCAAGTGAAGAGAGAGACAGAGCGGACTGAGGAGCGTGTGTGCGTCTTGCATTGTCGTGTCGTTTAACTATGAGTGACACTAGAAAGCGAAGCAGCATCTGGCTGCAGTTTAAAGATATTGGGAACAAGAAAGCAGAGTGCCTTCACTGCAAAACGAAGGTCACTATAAGAGCAGGTTCCACCACAAACCTGCATAGACATACAAGAACTGTCCATCCTACAGTGCAGTTAGAGGAGAGAGGGCAAGCCAGCTCACCATCTACTGATCCTGGTGTGTCTCATACCAGAACAACAGCTGCTGTAACGTCTACTGCCATCCCCATGCGTGCAAGTATAACCTCTCCTACTGCAACTCAAAGCAAAATAAGTCAGTTTTTACCTAAACTTTTACCTAAACTGATGACCCCAGCCAAACAGCACAGTATTGATGATGAGTTGGCTAAAATGGTAGCTTCTGATTTTCAACCCTTTTCCATTGTGGAGGACAAAGGAATGAAAAACTTTGTCAAAGCCCTAAATCCCACATACACTCTACCCAGTAGAAAAACACTTTCCCAAACAATGATCCCAAAACTATATGACACAGAACGTGCATTATGGCAAGAAAGGGTGACAAAAGCTCCATCAGTTTGCCTGACAACTGACTGCTGGACCTCCAGAACAACCTGCTCTTTCATGTCTGTCACTTGCCACTTTATTGAAGATTACAAGATGACATCTTGCCTTCTGGACTGCTTCGAGTTCACCGACAGACACACTGCAGAAAACTTGGCAGTGGAGCTACTAAGAGTGGCAAAAGAGTGGCAAGTAGAGGACAAAGTGGTGTGCTGTGTGAGTGATAATGCTGCAAACATCACCAAAGCCATAAAAGTTTTGAAGTGGACCCATCACCCATGTCTGGCGCATACACTAAACCTGGTGGTTAGAGATGCTCTGAAGGTGATCAAAACAACCGTGGATAAGGTGAAGGCTGTTGTGGAGTTTTTCCACAAAAGCACAGTAGCAGCACAGAAGCTAAAGTCCACACAGCGCCAAATGGGGATTCCTGAACTGAGGCCCAAACAAGAGTGTGCCACCAGGTGGAACTCAACATTTGATATGTTGAAACGAATGCTTGAAATAAAAGATGCCATCATCTCCACCCTGGCCCTCATCAACGCATCTATTGAGCCATTAAGCCAAGAGGAATGGGAGCTGGTGAAAGAGGTCTGCGCCGTCCTGCAACCATTCCAGGAGGTGACTGTGGAGATAAGTGCAGACAGGTACCTAGAACCATTGAAGCATTGTTTTCTCTACTACTATTCAGTCACTATTATACATTGCAAACACAACACATACAGTATAATGCATCACGTATAATATGCCACATACTTTTAAAAAACTAAATTCTAAAAGTTGCTGTTTTCTCTCCTTCAGCTATGTCACAGCCTCGAAAATGCTCCTGCTTTGCAAAGGTCTGCAGCTGGTGACAGCCGAGAACCAATGGACAGTAACTGTGCAGAAAGTGAAGGAATTAGTTGCAGCTCTTTGTTCAGCCATGGACCGCAAATTTCTGCGGATGGAGTACAACACTGTCCTTTCAGAAACTACCTTATTGGATCCAAGGTTTAAAAAACTTGCCTTCAGTGATCGTAGAGCTGTTGATGAAGCTCTTCAGAGGATTAGTGCAGCAGCAGCAGCAAAATGCACCCCCAGCAGCCAGCCAGCTCCACCATTACAGGGCCAAGTGGAGGAGGAGCAGCAAACCTCTGCTGTTTGGAGGCTTTTTGATGACAGAGCTACAGGAGATGCTTCAAGGAGAAATCCGACAGCTGATGCTATAATGGAGGTGAGGAGCTACCTTGAGGAGCCCCTCATCCAGAGAGCAGAAGACCCACTGAGCTGGTGGCAGGCCAAGGCCTCAGTCTTTCCACTCCTGGTGAAGGTGATGGAGGGGAGACTATGTATTGTTGCCACATCAGTTCCTTCTGAGAGAATCTTCTCCAAAACAGGGCAGATACTCACGGAGAGGCGAAATCGTATCAGCCCATCCAAGCTGAGGCATCTGATCTTCCTGAATGCCAACCTGCCCTGAGGACTAATGCTGTTTGCTGGAGTTTGGTTCTGGTTTTGATTCTGTTCTGTGGATTTGTTTGAAGTTTATTGTTAATTTGTGCAATAAAAAAGTTTAATTGAAATAAACAAATGTAAGAGTGGTTTTGTCACAGAATAAATGCACAGAATTAGGCATTATAAGGTCTCTCATAAAAACACTGAAAGCAAAAGGGTTTTCAACACATAAACCATGATTTTTTTTCAAAGTTAAGGTAAAATATAGGCTACAAAAGATCCTAAATAAAGAGCCGTTCGGGAGTCGAAAGAGCCGGCTCTTCTTTGGGAGCCGAGTCAAAAGAGCCGGCTCTCAGAAAAGAGCCGAACTTCCCATCACTAGTCTGAAGTGTGTGTGAGTGAGTGCTCACTGTCATAGTCAGTTCTACCCTCATATGTTAAAACACCTGTACTCACTGTCATAGTCAGTTCTACCCTCATATGTTAAAACACCTGTACTCACTGTCATAGTCAGTTCTACCCTCATATGTTAAAACACCTGTACTCACTGTCATAGTCAGTTCTACCCTCGTATGTTAAAACACCTGTACTCACTGTCATAGTCAGTTCTACCCTCGTATGTTAAAACACCTGTACTCACTGTCATAGTCAGTTCTACAGTTCTACCCTCATATGTTAAAACACCTGTACTCACTGTCATAGTCAGTTCTACAGTATGAAATGATACAGTCCACACATACAGTCTAGATAATTAACTAATCTCTCATGTACACTATGAGTGGTGGGGGTCAGGCTGCATCCCTACACACACACACAATAGACAAAAAGGCTGTGTGTGTGTGTGTGTGTGTGTGTGTGTGTGTGTGTGTGTGTGTGTGTGTGTGTGTGTGTGTGTGTGTGTGTGTGTGTGTGTGTGTGTGTGTGTGTGTGTGTGTGTGTGTGTGTTATCTGCCTCTGAGAAGGAAAGGAAGCCAGCAGGTGAGGAGAGTGAAGAGCCGTCCAGCAAAGAAAGTGTCACGATCGTTTAAAGACGAGAAGGACCAAGGCGCAGCGTGATATGCATTCATATTTATTTCCGTACTGAACACACGACAAAACAACAAACGAAACGTGAAGTCCAAGGTAGACAAATAACATACCTTTACGGAACAAGATCCCACACAGACTGGTGCCAAACGGCTGCCTAAGTATGGTCCCCAATCAGAGACAACGAGCTACAGCTGCCTCTGATTGGGAACCACCCTGGCCAACATAGATCTAAACGATCTACAAACTAAACATAAAAATAAACACAACACGAAATATACACACCCTGACTCAACAAATAACCGTCCCCTGAGTCAGGGCGTGATATGCATTCATATTTATTTCCGTACTGAACACACGACAAAACAACAAACGAAACGTGAAGTCCAAGGTAGACAAATAACATACCTTTACGGAACAAGATCCCACACAGACTGGTGCCAAACGGCTGCCTAAGTATGGTCCCCAATCAGAGACAACGAGCTACAGCTGCCTCTGATTGGGAACCACCCTGGCCAACATAGATCTAAACGATCTACAAACTAAACATAGAAATAAACACAACACGAAATATACACACCCTGACTCAACAAATAACCGTCCCCTGAGTCAGGGCGTGACAGTACCCCCCCCCCCCCCCCCCCCAAAGGTGCGGACTCCGACCGCGCCACATAAACCTAATAGGGTAGGGGCCGGGTGGGCATTCCGCCTCGGAGGCGGATCTGGCTCCGGGCGTGACCACCACCTATTCTCCGCCTCCCCGTTGCGCCCCTGGTCAGGTCTGGACCTCGGCGCGCTGCTTCCCCTCTCCTTCCTCTCACGAAGTACCAAGCCCTGTCTGGACCCTGGTGTGGGAGACCCCGAACCTGGAGAGGGGCTGACGTCCGGGTCTGGACTGGAACCGCTGACTGGAGCTGGACCCGACGACGGTGGATTGAACTGCTCTGGCTCCGGGGTGGAGCCGCTGACCGGAACTGGATCAGGCACCGGTGGAGCGGACTGCTCTGGCTCCGGAGTGGAGCAGCTGACCGGTGCCGGACCAGGCACTGGTGGAACAGGCACGAGCCGTGCCAGACTGGACACACGCACCACTGGCTTGGTGCGGGGAGCAGGAACGGGCCGGACCGGGCTGACGACGCGCACCACTGGCTTGGTGCGGGGAGCAGGAACGGGCCGTACCGGACTGGCGACGCGCACCACTGGCCTGGTGCGGGGAGCAGGAATGGGCCGGACTGGGCTGACGACGCGCACCACTGGCTTGGTGCGGGGAGCAGGAACGGGCCGGACTGGGCTGACGACGCGCACCACTGGCTTGGTGCGGGGAGCAGGAACGGGCCGTACCGGACTGGCGACGCGCACCACTGGCCTGGTGCGGGGAGCAGGAATGGGCCGGACTGGGCTGACGACGCGCACCACTGGCTTGGTGCGGGGAGCAGGAACGGGCCGTACCGGACTGGCGACGCGCACCACTGGCCTGGTGCGGGGAGCAGGAATGGGCCGGACTGGGCTGACGACGCGCACCACTGGCTTGGTGCGGGGAGCAGGAACGGGCCGTACCGGACTGGCGACGCGCACCACTGGCCTGGTGCGGGGAGCAGGAACGGGCCGGACTGGGCTGGCGACGCGCACCACTTGATTGGTGCAAGGAGCGGGACTGGGTTCCTTCATTAACCCCCGCTCCTTCTGCTGCCTAACCAGCTCCTCTCGCCGTGCCTCTACACTTTCCTTCTGCTCCCTCTGCACCAATGACCCCCTTAATCTGGTGGCCTCCTCTGCTAAACGGCTGAACCGCTCTATCGCGGCCTCCTGCTGCCTCGTCGTCCACGCCGTGAGCCCCCCCCTAAAACATTTTTGGGCTTGTCTCTCCCCCGTGATCATGGCCTCCATCCCTCTTGCCAGACTCTCACTCATCTCCTCCCAAGTCCATCCTCTCTCCTCATCACGCTGCTTGATCCAGGATTGGTGGGATCTTGTTCCGTGTGAGGTATGTTATTAGTCTACCTTGGACTTGACGTTTCGTTTGTTGTTTTTGTCGTGTGTTCAGTACGGAAATAAATATGAATGCATATCACGCTGCGCCTTGGTCCTTCTCGTCTTTAAACGATCGTGACAGAAAGAAAGAAAGAAAGAAAGAAAGAAAGAAAGAAAGAAAGAAAGAAAGAAAGAAAGAAAGAAAGAAAGAAAGAAAGAGAGAAAGAGAGACAAGTTGAATATGTTTCTAGAAAGAGAGAAAGATAGACAAGTTGAATATGTTTCTATTAAACTACTCTTCAAACCCTTTAAAATCGATTGTTTTTACATTTTAGAGGTCTCCTGAAAACTTTGAACCAGAAATCTATGATCGTGAGGGCAAGGGAGCGTACAGGTAACTTCATTTTACTTGTTTTCTCATGAATAGTTTGTAAGGACAATGCCTCATTTTTCAAATCATATTCAGGGAATGTAATTAAAATGTAATTCTTCACCATTGTTTGTTCTACAGGTTCCAGTGCAGTATAACAGGCCTGGTGTTTAGGATGGAGGGAGAGGGAGAGGTGCTCTATAGGACAGTCCCCTGGGACAGGAGGCTTCTAGCCCAGAGAGGCAAGAGGCCTGCAGGACCCCTGTTCAAGTTTACATGCCTTAAGGGGTCTGTCTGTCAACTACACCTCCCACACTGTGAGATTCATTCTGGTAAGTAATACATTTCCAGGGAGGTTATAGACTACATATTCTTAATCACCATCAGTAGCATCACTACTCCACTACTTGGTTGTTTTTGTCATCTGAACAGAAGACTAATGTTCTCTTTCTCTCCTAGAGGGTGGATGTGACTTCCTGTCTGTAGCCCATGTGACTGATGATGACAGTACGGAGTTTCTCCATCCCCATGAGACAACAGAAACTCATGTCATATTAAACATCAATGGATTCAGCAAATATGGCATCAGCAAGGATAAGGAAGCTCCTGTCTCTCCTATCCGTGGTCTGGTGCTACTATTTTACCAACTCCCAGATGATACAAATAATTCCACCCTAAATGTGTTGTTGCTGCCTAGGAATGTTGACATTGATGAGGTAAGTAGATTAGAGTTGTCAAATTCCTCTTTCGTTGGAATTCTATCAAACTCGTACTGTTGAACTCACCTTTTGCCTTATTTTGGGGTGTAACGTAACACTAAATGGTGAATCCAAACCAGGGGGGTCTCTCGCTCGTCAACCCAACATCTTAACCATTACATCAAGACGGTACCCTCAAGGTCCGAGGGCGACATTTGGGCTTCCATGTTTCAGGCAGGGCTTACTGTCACGACTTCCTCCGAAGCTGCTTCCTCTCCTTGTTCGGGCAGGCTTCGGTGTTAGTCGTCACCGGCCTTCTAGCCACTGCCTCTCCTCATCTCATCATTCCATTAGTTTTGTCTTGTTTATTACACACACCTGGTTCATATTCCCCTCATTAGTACCTGTATAAGTGTTCCCGCTGCCCCCTTGTCTCTGTGTGTGATTGTTTATTGTGGAGGTTATATGAGCTCGGTGGAGCGCCTTGTACTTTGTATCGACATATATACAGAATAAACCTTTATTCTGTGATTTACCCTCCTGTGCCTGACTACCTCATCATGACAGTGTGTTCCAATCCATTTTCAATCCTCTCAAGGTGTGTGAGAAAAGGAGGAGAAGGAATGGAGACAGAGAAATCTACATTGAAATAAATCCTAACTGTATACTAACCCCGGACCAAAAATACACCTTCTCCACCGATCTTACAGATGAACATCACATAGATCCAAAGGTAGGCTAATATATATATAACATGAGCTAGAGAGAGAGAGAGAGGAAATGTGTTAACACATGTACATTATTTTTGTGATGCTACCTTGATAAGAAATAGAAATCACGTACAATTCTGTTTGACATGATACTTATGCATTTTTTTCAGGATGCAGAGTTTGTGGATTATGATTCCTATGGAAACTACATGCCAACATTTCAGTTGCGTTTAAAAACTGTTGTTGAAGAAGTTAATCTTCTTCTGGAAGAACATGACGGTCCTGAAAATGAATGTGTATGGAACCGCCTTGTTTCACTACAAGGTAACTGAAATTCAGAGAGAGTGGGAGTTACTATAGAACTAGTAGTAATAATAGCATTTTACATTAGTAGCAATCATCATAATATATGGTAGTAGTGCTGTTGTTGATTTAATCTAATTATGATACAATTGATTATTTCACCATATAAATGTAGTACATCACCTTGTCTTTTAATCCACAGCCTCACCAACAGAAGTGAAGTCTACAGGTAACTGGTCTCATCAAACCTTATACTTGTCTTAGTCTCATCAACTCACAATTCAATTGTGAACAACTCATATTCTCCTAATGGTTCTGTGTTGTGCGCCATTTGATTTGACCTGCGGTTTAACCTCATAAACTGCACCATAAACTTAAACGACTATATTCTTTATGGTCTGTCACTTATTTTGTTAAAGGTCCTGCACAGTCAAAATCAAGTTTTTCATGAAATGTGATGATATTCGGATTAAATCAGATCAAAGTAGGATGACCAAAGTATGAAAAATGACTGTTGCTTCTGCATTGATAAAGTTATCATAAAGTTACTCATCCTCTCCCCCATGTCAACCACTTGGATTCAGGAGCTGGGATTATTAAAGGATTTTTGTGACATTATTTTCTTACCTAATTAAAATAAGTACCGCCTTGTAACCAACACCGCAGAAGGCGTATTCGCAGAGGGGTGTGGTTTACAAAGCAGCGTGTTCGATGAATAGGGGAAACCTGTAATTATATTTTCTAAGGCAAATATACGTTCCGCTTTCATCTGTGTCTGGTGTTAGCTAGTTACTGGCTAGCTAGGTCTTTCACCAGCATGGAACAAAAATGGAGGAAGGTTAGCCCAATTCTCAGACACAATTGTCATGTCATTACATCAAGAGACAAACATGAGATTCATACAAACTTCTTGACATCATTGATAGTCATGATATATGACATATTAATTAATTAACATTGTCTGACTGAGTGGACAAAACATTATGAACACCTGCTCTTTCCTGACATAGACTGACCAGGTGAATCCAGGTGAAAGCTATGATCCCTTATTGATGTAACTTGTTAAATCCACTTCAGTCAGTGTAGATCAGGGGTGTCAAACTCATTTTAGCTCAGGGGCCACATGGAGGAAAATCTATTCCCAAGTGGGCCGGACCGGAAAAATCATGGTATATATAACTTAAAAACAACAACTTCAGATTGTTTTCTTTGTTTTAATACGATCAACATACAACATAAAGCTGGAGCCTGAGGACAGTGTGTCCAAAATAGTACAAGCACAACATCACTATTAATCATAAAACACATCAAGTTTATTTGAAAATTCTAAAGAAAAAGAACACAAACACACAATGCCTCAGTGATTAACAGAACTGTTTCACAGATCACAGAACTATATCAGGGTGTCATTTCTCAGGCAGAAATGTAGATAAAAATAATGAAATCCTGTTCCCCAAACAAGTGCAAGAACCACAGAGTCAAGAATAGGTTAAATATACAAATAAAATCAATTAAAAACAATAGCACATCAACATAAAAACATATAAACATAAAGCTGGAGCCTGAGGACAGTGTGTCCAAAAGCACAACATCACTATTAATCATAAAACACCTCAAGTTATTTGAAAGTTCTGAGGACAAAGAACACACAAACACACAATGCCTCAGTGATTCACAGAAATATATCACAGATCACAGAACTATATCAGGGTGTCTCATGTAGCACTTTAAGTGGGGTTGCATAGTTCCTGATACCTGGCATCTTTTAGCTTTCACCAGCGCATCAATATCAGGCGTCACATCCTGAGTGGCAGCCAACTTCAGGATGTGATTCAAGTGCTTGTGCGTGAGCCTTGAGCGCAGCTTTGTTTTATTTATGCTCATTACAGAGAAAACTTGCTCACAAAGATATGTGGTTCCAAACATGCACAACAGTTTTGCAGCGAGGGCTGTCAAGTTGGGGTAACCTGGCAAGAGATTCTGATTAAATGTGTCCAAGCCAGCTGCAGCAAATTTGCCCTTCAAATCCGAGTCACACTGCAAGTCTATTATTTCAAGTTGGATGTGGTCCTCTGTAGCTCAGCTGGTAGAGCACGGCGCTTGTAACGCCAAGGTAGTGGGTTCGATCCCCGGGACCACCCATACACAAATTTTTTTGTGGGGATTTAGCAGACGCTTTGGATAAAAGCGTCTGCTAAATGGCATATTATTATTATTATTATTATTATTATTATTATGCTGACGGGCAGATCAGCGGGATTCACGGTGAATGGCGAGCAAAAAACGTTGAAGTCTTTCTCCAGTTCACCAAAAATCTGAAAGCGTTGCTCAAACTCCTGTAACAGTCCCGTTATTTTATCTTTGAACCGCTTCATGTCTGCCACATGTTGGGTCGCGCACACATTTTTCAGACAGGGGAAGTGAGCTGCATCACCACCGGCAAGTTGCGTCTCCCACAATGACAGCTTCAACTTGAAAGAACGTATGCTGTCATAATACTGCGTGACAACTTTGTTGCGCCCTTGCAGCTGTTTGTTCAAGTTATTCAGGTGCTCTGTAACATCCACCATAAATGCAAGGTCCTGCATCCATTCTGCGGAATGGAATTCTAACACTGTTCAATTTCTTCTCGTAAATCAAAGAAACGCCTCAGCACCTCGGCTTAACCATCTTACCTCAGTGTGGTATGGCAGGCCATAGATGTGGTCTTTCTCTCTGAGAAGGCTGTCAAACTGACGGTGATTCAGGCTTCTGGATCAGATGAAATTAACAGTTTGGATGACCACCTTCATGACGTTATCCATCTTTAATGACTTGCAACACAAAGCCTCCTGGTGCAAAATACAGTGAAAAGTCAAAAAATCACGTCCTCCATTTGCAGATTGCACTTTCTCTCTGAACTTTGTCACAACGCCTGCTTTTTTCCCGATCATTGAGGGTGCACCATCTGTAGCCAGGCTGACAGCGCGGGACCAGTCCACTCCGACCCTGTCCAGCGCGCCGACGAGTGCGGTAAAAATATCAGCTGCTGTCGTTGTATCTGTCATCGGCACCAACTCCACGAACTCCTCGGTGACGGTCAATGTGTCATCAACTCCGCGGATGAAAATGGCCAGTTGTGCAACATCTGTAATGTCCGTGCTTTCATCAATTGCAACCGAAAACGCAATAAATGACTTTACTTTTTGCTTCAACTGGCTGTCCAAATCCACTGAAAGATCGGAAATCCTGTCTGCAACTGTGTTTCTTGTCAGGCTGATATTTACAAAAGCCTGATGCTTTTCAGGGCACACAATCTCAGCTGCCTTCATCATGCATGTGTTTACAAATTCACCCTCACTAAATGGTTTTGAAGCCACTGCGATTTCATTAGCAATGAGGTAGCTAGCTTTCACTGCAGCGTCACTGATGTCTCGGCTGTGAGTAAACACAGACTTGACCTACTTGCTCTGCCCCGGTATAAACAGTTTGCTTGCTTAACACAATTGCTATTGCGCCATCCAGTGGACGCAATTGGAACATCAGTTTATTTTATTGAAAAATTGCAGCGCATTTTTATACTTTACAAAATCATCTCGCGGGCCGGATTAAACCCGTTTGCGGGCCTGATCCGGCCCGTGGTCCGGACGTTTGACACCCCTGTCCTAGACGTTTCCACTTCACAATAACAGCACTTACAGTTGACCGGGGCAGCTCTAGCAGGGCAGAAATTTGACTAACTGATTTGTTGGAAAGGTGGCATCCTATGACGGTGCCACGTTGAAAGTCATTGAGCTCTTCAGTAAGGCCATTCTACTGCCAATGTTTGTCTATTGCGATTGCATGGCTGTGTGTTCGATTTTATACCCCTGTCAGCAACGGCTGTGGCTGAAATAGCAGCTCCTTCAGGGTTATCTAGACAACAGAAACATAGATCATAATAAACATCACTGGATTCTCTGATTATGGCCTCACCAAGGATGAGGCTCCTGTCTTCCCTATCCAGGGGCTTGTGTTGTTATTCCACCAACTGTTTGTCCCTGAAGAGAGGTCCATCCTGAATGTGTTGTTGCTTCCCAGTAATGTTGTGATCAGGGAGGTCAGCATAACATTTCAAACCCCACTTCTATCTGGCTGGAATTCCACCAAGCTGGCAGTGTCAAATGCACAACATGGAAACAATAACATGTGCCCTGTGCCTCAAGAATGCATGTTCATATACTAGTTTAAATCAGACCAGAGTCAAGTAATTACAGTGGCTTGCGAAAGTATTCACCCCCCTTGGCATTTTTCCTATTTTGTTGCCTTACAACCTGGAATTAAAATGGATTTTTGGGGGGTTTGTATCATTTGATTTACACAACATGCCTACCACTTTGAAGATGCAAAATATTTTTATACAAACAAGAAATAAGACCAAAAAAACAGAAAACTTGAGCGTGCATAACTATTCACCCCTCCAAAATCAATACTTTGTAGAGGCACCTTTTTGCAGAAATTACAGCTGCAAGTCTCTTGGGGTATGTCTATAAGCTTGGCACATCTAGCCACTGGGATTTTTGCCCATTCTTCAAAGGCCAAACTGCTCCAGCTCCTTCAAGTTGGATGGGTTCCGCTGGTGTACAGCAATCTTTAAGTCATACCACAGATTCTCAATTGGATTGAGGTCTGGGCTTTGACTAGGCCATTCCAAGACATTTAAATGTTTCCCTTTAAACCACTCAAGTGTTGCTTTAGCAGTATGGATAGGGTCATTGTCCTGCTGGAAGGTGAACCTCCGTTCCAGTCTCAAATCTCTGGAAGACAGAAACAGGTTTCCCTCAAGAATTTCCCTGTTTTTAGCGCCATCCATCATTCCTTAAATTCTGACCAGTTTCCCAGTCCCTGCCAATGAAAACATCCCCACAGCATGATGCTGCCTCAACCATGCTTCACTGTGGGGATGGTGTTCTCGGGGTGATGAGAGGTGTTGGGTTTGCGCCAGACCTAGAGTTTTCCTTGATGGCCAAAAAGCTAAATTTTAGTCTCATCTAACCAGAGTACCTTCTTCCATATGTTTGGGGATTCTCCCACATGGCTTTTGGCGAACACCAAACGTGTTTGCTTATTTTTTTCTTTAAGCAATGGCTTTTTTCTGGCCACTCTTCTGTAAAGCCCAGCTCTGTGGAGTGTTTGGCTTAAAGTGGTCCTATGGACAGATACTCCAATTTCCGCTGTGGAGCTTTGCAGCTCCTTCAGGGTTATCTTTGGTCTCTTTGTTGCATCTCTGATTAATGCCCTCCTTGCCTGGTCTGTGAGTTTTGGTGGGCGGCCCTCTCTTGGCAGGTTTGTTGTGGTGTCATATTCTTTCCATTTTTTAATAATGGATTTAATGGTGCTTACTGGGATGTTCAAAGTTTCTGATATTTTTTTTATAACCCAACCCTGATCTGTACTTCTCCACAACTTTGTCCCTGACCTGTTTGGAGAGCTCCTTGGTCTTCATGGTGCCGCTTGCTTGGTGGTGCCCCTTACTTAGTGGTGTTGCAGACTCTGGGGCCTTTCAGAACAGTGGGGGGAAAAAGTATTTAGTCAGCCACCAATTGTGCAAGTTCTCCCACTTAAAAAGATGAGAGAGGCCTGTAATTTTCATCATAGGTACACGTCAACTATGGCAGACAAATTGAGGAAAAAAAATCCAGAAAATCACATTGTAGGATTTTTTATGAATTTATTTGCAAATTATGGTGGAAAATAAGTATTTGGTCAATAACCAAAGTTTCTCAATACTTTGTTATCTACCCTTTGTTGGCAATGACACAGGTCAAACGTTTTCTGTAAGTCTTCACAAGGTTTTCACACACTGTTGCTGGTATTTTAGTCCATTCCTCCATGCAGATCTCCTCTAGAGCAGTGATGTTTTGGGGCTGTCGCTGGGCAACACGGACTTTCAACTCCCTCCAAAGATTTTCTATGGGGTTGAGATCTGGAGACTGGCTAGGCCACTCCAGGACCTTGAAATGCTTCTTACGAAGCCACTCCTTTGTTGCCCGGGCAGTGTGTTTGGGATCATTGTCATGCTGAAAGACCCAGCCACGTTTCATCTTCAATGCCCTTGCTGATTGAAGGAGGTTCTCACTCAAAATCTCACAATACATGGCCCCTTTCATTCTTTCCTTTACACGGATCAGTCGTCCTGGTCCCTTTGCAGAAGAACAGCCCAAAAGCATGATGTTTCCACCCCCATGCTTCACAGTAGGTATGGTGTTCTTTGGATGCAACTCAGCATTATTTGTCCTCCAAACACGACGAGTTGAGTTTTTACCAAAAAGTTCTATTTTGGTTTCATCTGACCATGTGACATTCTCCCAATCCTCTTCTGGATCATCCAAATGCACTCTAGCAAACTTCAGACGGGCCTGGACATGTACTGGCTTAAGCAGGGGGACACATCTGGCACTGCAGGATTTGAGTCCCTGGCGGCGTAGTGTGTTACTGATGGTAGGCTTTGTTACTTTGGTCCCAGCTCTCTGCAGGTCATTCACTAGGTCCCCCTGTGTGGTTCTGGGATTTTTGCTCACCGTTCTTGTGATCATTTTGACCCCACGGGGTGAGATCTTGCGTGGAGCCCCAGATCGAGGGAGATTATCAGTGGTCTTGTATGTCTTCCATTTCCTAATAATTGCTCCCACAGTTGATTTCTTCAAACCAAGCTGCTTACCTATTGCAGATTCAGTCTTCCCAGCCTGGTGCAGGTCTACAATTTTGTTTCTGGTGTCCTTTGACAGCTCTTTGGTCTTGGCCATAGTGGAGTTTGGAGTGTGACTGTTTGAGGTTGTGGACAGGTGTCTTTTATACTGATAACATGTTCAAACAGGTGCCATTAATACAGGTAACGAGTGGAGGACAGAGGAGCCTCTTAAAGATTAAGTTACAGGTCTGTGAGAGCCAGAAATCTTGCTTGTTTGTAGGTGACCAAATACTTATTTTCCACCATAATTTGCAAATAAATTCATAAAAAATCCTACAATGTGATTTTCTGGATTTTTTCCCCTCAATTTGTCTGCCATAGTTGACATGTACCTATGATGAAAATTACAGGCCTCTCTCATCTTTTTAAGTGGGAGAACTTGCACAATTGGTGGCTGACTAAATACTTTTTTTACCCACTGTATACTGAGATCATGTGACAGATCATGTGACACTAGAACACACTGTACAACTCCTCGGCCGCTGGTCCTCTCAAGCCTATCATTCATACATCCGTTCTGACATCAACAACATCAGGACAGCCCATAACATGTCATCTCTAAGAACCTGCATTAACTCAGGCACAGTCCTCCAGTCTCTGCCTCATTTCACGGACAACATCTACCTCACACACCGTATCCTACCCAACCAGCCAAAGAGGATTGGCTCCCCAGCTGATCCTGGTTTCTCTCAAGGTTTCTCTTCCTTTAAGGGAGTTTATTTTATTTTCTTGCCACCATCGCTTCTGCTTGCTCTCCTGGGGTCTAAGGTTGGCTCACTCTGTGGGCATTTCGTCCATACACCTTTACTACCTCAAGCGATATCACCAACCATTCAGCACCTGCAGTCCAAAACAGCTCACTTCCTCTCCAGGATCCGACAGGAGAGTTGTCTTTTTGGGGATTGCCTTCACCACAGCAGCCTAACTACCACGTCCTGACGGTGTAGTCTACCTGAGGCTCCAAGCCAAACCATACAGAGTCAACCCCTCCGCATCCCTCCTCTGAGGCCTCTGCTTCATCCGGTCCATTCTCATTTCCTGAATCCACGTTCTCACATCCATTCTCATTTCCTGAATCCACGTTCGCACATCCATTCCATTTCCTCAATAAATATTCTAAACCCATTTAATGTCTGGTCCTTAAACTGGTGAATACTGTAGCCTTACGTAGAGCCTCAATACAAGACCCTGATATGACCTATTTACCATAAACAATGTCTGGTTAAAGGTAAATGTATTCTCATCATTTTATTGGTTTTGCTCTTTCATACACAGCCACGCCACCAAGGGATGACTCAGCAGGTAAATGGCTTACATCAAGGGTTTCACTTAGTAGTTGGCTGAAAGTTATTGAATTAAAACCTTTACTGATCTACTATGCCGGTATATGGATATTCATATTGATCGTAGTCTTTACATTCTTTAATATATATTGTTTTTGTGTGGAGAGTGAGCTTGGGGAAAAGTTTGATTAAACATTTTATTTAACAGTGGTCCACACGTTTTACAATTTGACCAGCTAGGCATTCCGTATGATAGAGGGATGGTCATTATTTTGCATAGTCAGCTTTGACAGGAATGAAATCACAGGAATGGGGAAAACCTGAGACTAAAATAGATACTCATTTTCTTATCTTACCTCCACTCTAGTGACAACGAGGACTACTGTTCAAGATCGGATTCTAGAGACACTGGAGGAACTGGACAAAAAAGAGCTGAACAAATTTCAGTGGCACCTGTCCCATTTAAAGAGTGTGAACGGCTTCACTCCCATCCCAAAGAGCCAACTGAAGAAGGCTGAAAGGCACGACACAGTGGATAAGATGGTGCAGCGCTACGGCCCTGAGGAAACTCTGAAGATCTCAGTGAACATCCTGACAAAGATGCACCGCAACGATCTCTCTGATAGGTTACAGAATAATCACTGAGGAGTTTAAAGATGACCAGCAGCAGCCATACCACCCTGCACCCAATCACTGCTTTGCTTAAGGGAAACCTGCACTAACTGAACGTCTTTATTAGTTTTAAAGTTCTTTAGCAGCAGCAGAGGTCTTGTTAAACGTGAGGTCATCTACCAGACAACCTACCCGTGTTACTCTGGTACACTAGCTGCAGACTACAAGATCAGGGACTGTTTTTTAATAGACTCCTAATATGATGGAGGAATATTTTTATATATTTTCATGTATTATATATTTTATGTAGTATTTTATGTGTTTTTACACAATGTCTGTACATTTAATTTCTATCTGGAACATGGTGAATGTTTAATCCTCTTGGACAAATCTCAGGCAACAACTACCAACTGAATTGTACTGTACAGCTATACTGGCTGAACACAAGATCAAGCTATATCTCTGTTTGGATATAGTGTATAAGTTTATATAATTGTATTTTAAAGCGCATCCATCTTTTAAAATGTTCATGTCATTCTTTTCCAACATTAAGGACTAGTTGTGTAATTTTGGGATTGATAATGAGAACTAGACTCACTCTTGAGATAAGAAATATATATTCTTTATCCCGAAACATTTTTAAGGTTAGGTATGATGTTTTGGCCATATTGGCCTTAATCAGACTGACTCTCAGGAACAAATTTCACTCTCAGGGAAAAACATATTTTATAGTGTATATGGTATAGTGTTTTTTTAATTGGAGTAATCTATTTTTCATTTAAATGTTATTATTCATCCGCACGCACAAATGCATCCCAGTTCTGATCTTTTAATTTCCACTAATTGGTCTTTTGACCAATCACATCAAATATTTTCACATCAGCTCATTTTCAGAGCTGATCTGATTGGTCAAAATACCAACTGGGGGGGGGGGGGGAGATCTGAATTGGTCTGCCTGTGTTAACATATTCATCAACTCACTGAATATTTCTATGACACATTCTACAAATAAAAATTAATGGTAATTTCCTGCTGAACCACCAGGGGACGATAGAGTCCAGGATAAGTCTCCGCCTCATCCTCAGTGACCTCCAGCACCACAGGGTTCTCAGTGAGCAGGAGATAGCAGGGTTGGGGTTCCATTTCAATTCAAGTCAATTCAGGAAGTACACTGAAATTCCAATTATCTTCCATGCTTTTCAATGAGGAAAACGTAGAATAGGAATTTGGTTTACTTCCGGAATTGGCTGGAATTTAATTGGAATTGACCAAGAACGAGAAAAGTGAAGGATGTCTTATATTTAACAAGAGGCTAAATATCTATCTATTTGCAACATTGTGAAAGTTTAACGGTCTTGAATGAGCCCCAGGTCTCAGGCAAGGTGACATCACTGTGAGGCTACTGTCTACCAGACAACCTACCTGTGTTACTCTGGTACACTGGCTGCAGACTACAAGATCAGGGACTATGATGTTTTTAATAGTCATAAAATAAATTGTTTTAAATTACTGAGTACGTTTACATGCACAGTAATATAATTAATAGTAATATATTAATCTGACTATCCAGCATGTAACCATACTCACTGTAGTGCATATGTGAATATGATAATAATATAATAATAATAATATGATGGTATTGTTGAACTTTTTACATTATGTCATTACCTATATAAACACAATATTCTCTGATGATTCAGTGGAATGAATAGAAAATAATAGAATAGGGTACGAGAATAGAACACAATACAACACAATGCAATACAATGCAACACAATACAACAACACAATACAACACAACACAACAACACAATACAACAACACAATACAACACAACACAATACAACACAACAACACAATACAACACAACACAATACAACAACACAATACAACACAACACAACAACACAATACAACAACACCATACAACACAATACAACACAACACAACACAATACAACAACACAATACAACACAACACAACAACACAATACAACAACACAACAACACAATACAACGCAACACAACGCAACACAACGCAACAACACAATACAACAACACCATACAACACAACACAACACAATACAATACAATACAACACAACACAACACAACACAACACAACACAACACAACACAATACAATACAACACAACACAATACAATACAATACAATACAATACAATACAACACAACAACACAATACAACACAATACAATACAACACAATACAACACAACACAACACAACACAACACAACACAATACAACACAATACAACAACACAATGTATCTAAATACTTGACTAATCCCTGAGCAGGAAGTGTCGGGAGTTGAAGGAGTGAAAGGCAGCAGCAGTACAGTAAATTAAATGACTGAGAAACTCACTGTTATTTTATCATTCAAATGTTACTGAGATCAAGTACATTAGATGATGACATTTCTAAAGAACAATATGGATAGAAAAATACTGTTTTCCAGTCTTCTATGCAACCTTTCTCTTGTTACTTCTGGATTGTTGAAATTGTTAAATAAAAGTTTAAAGTTGTAGGCTATGAATTTACATTTTATGTACCAAATGTACAGTACCATTCAAAGGTTTGTACACACCTACTCATTCAAGGGTTTTTCTTTATATTTTACTATTTTCTACATTGTAGAATAATAGTGAAGACATCAAAACTCCAGAGTGGCGCAGTGGTCTAAGGCATGCAGTGCTAGCTAGAGATCCTGGTTCGAATCCAGGCTCTGTTGTAGCCGGCCGCCATGGTGCGGCGTCGTCCAGGGTAGGGGAGGGAATGGCCGGCAGGGATGTAGCTCAGTTGGTATGAAAAAAATAAAATAATGTATGCACTCACAAACTGTAAGTCACTCTGGATAAGAGCGTTTGCTAAAATGTAAATGTAAAAATAACACATATGGAATCATGTAGTAACCAAAAAAGTGTTAAACAAATCTAAATGTATTTATATTTGAGATTCTTCAAATAGCCACCCTTTGCCTTGATGAAAGCTTTGCACACTCTTGGAAAAACCCTTGAATGAGTAGGTGTGTCCAAACTTTTGACTGGTAGTGTATATGAACTCAGCAAAAAAAGAAACGTCCTCTCACTGTCAACTGCGTTTATTTTCAGCAAACTTAACATGTGTAAATATTTGTATGAACATAACAAGATTCAACAACTGAGACATAAACTGAACAAGTTCCACAGACATGTGACTAACAGAAATTGAATAATGTGTCCCTGAACAAAGGGGGGATCAAAATCAAAAGTAACAGTCCGTATCTGGTGTGACCACCAGCTGCATTAAGTACTGCAGTGCATCTCCTCCTCATGGACTGCACCAGATTTGCCAGTTCTTGCTGAGAGATGTTACCCCACTCTTCCACCAAGGCACCTGCAAGTTCCCGAACATTTCTGGGGGGAATGGCCCTAGCCCTCACCCTCCGATCCAACAGGTCCCAGACGTGCTCAATGGGATTGAGATCCGGGCTCTTTGCTGGCCAAGGCAGAACACTGACATTCCTGTCTTGCAGGAAATCACGCACAGAACGAGCAGTATGGCTGGTGGCATTGTCATGCTGGAGGGTCGTGTCAGGATGAGCCTGCAGGAAGGGTACCACATGAGGGATGAGGATGTCTTCCCTGTAACGCACAGCGTTGAGATTGCCTGCAATGACAACAAGCTCATTCCGATGATGCTGTGACACACCGCCCCAGACCATGATGGACCATCCACCTCCAAATCAAGGACTCAGTGTAACGCTCATTCCTTCGACGATAAACACAAATCCGACCATCACCCCTGGTGAGACAAAACCGTGACTCGTCAGTGAAGAGCACTTTTTGCCAGTCCTGTCTGGTCCAGCGACGGTGGGTTTGTGCCCATAGGTGACGTTGTTGCCGGTGATGTCTGGTGAGGACCTGCCTTACAACAGACCTACAAGCCCTCAGTCCAGCCTCTCTCAGCCTATTGCGGACAGTCTGAGCACTGATGGAGGGATTGTGCGTTCCTGGTGTAACTCAGGCAGTTGTTGTTGCCATCCTGTACCTGTCCCGCAGGTGTGATGTTCAGATGTACCGATCCTGTGCAGGTGTTGTTACACGTGGTCTGCCACTGCGAGGACGATCAGCTGTCCGTCCTGTCTCCATGTATTGCTGTCTTAGGCATCTCACAGTACTGACATTGCAATTGATTGCCCTGGCCACATCTGCAGTCCTCATGCCTCCTTGCAGCATGCCTAAGGCACGTTCACGCAGATGAGCAGGGACCCTGTGCATCTTTCTTTTGGTGTTTTTCAGAGTCAGTAGAAAGGCCTCTATAGTGTCCTAAGTTTTCATAACTGTGACCTTAATTGCCTACCGTCTGTAAGCTGTTAGTGTCTTAACGACCGTTCCACAGGTGCATGTTCATTAATTGTTTATGGTTCATTGTACAAGCATGGAAAACAGTGTTAAAACCCTTTACAATGAAGATCTGTGAAGTTATTTGGATTTTTACGAATTATCTTTGAAAGACAGGGTCCTTAAAAGGGGACGTTTCTTTTTTTGCTGAGTTTAGATACTCATTTTACTTTAATGTGAATGTTTTACAATAGGTTAATGGTAGCCACATCTCCGAATAACAGCACACCCTGGAGGTTAACGTTAATGGCTACTTCCTGATGTAGCCTATGTTAATTTCTCACAGCTGATGGGTTGATTGCTCTTATCCTCCACGGGATCAGTGTCCCGTATACGGGACGGTTGAGCTAACGTGCGCTAATGTGATTAGCATGACTGTTGTAAGTAACAGCAAACTTTCCAGGACATAGACATGTCTTATATGGGCAGAAAGCTTACATTCTTGTTAATCTAACTGCACTGTCCAATTTACAGTAGCTATTACAGTGAAAAAATACCATGTTATTGTTTGAGGAGAGAGTACAACAACAAAAAACGTATCACGGCAACTGGTTTGATACATTCACCTCTGAAGGTAAATAATGTACTTACATTCAGTAATCTTGCTCTGATTTGTCATCCCGAGGGTCCCAGAGATAAAATGTATTATAGTTTTGTTTGATAAAAATGTTTTATTCAAATGTAGGAACTGGAATCTACAGTTTGAACCCCTGCTGTCTCTGGCTCCACACCCACCCCGCCCAGCCATCTAGATGTGTGAAAGTTAATGTATAAGCTAATGATCCATCATGTATGACATTCCTGGGAGTGTGTAAACTTACATTTTGTATTACCATATCATTGTTGTATGTTCTCTATAGTTATGCACTTGAAAATGTATCAATTGACCAATTCGGCACATTTGGGTAGACTTGATACAAAATAGTCCAGTATTGCAATGCTTCACTGGATCAATCTGAAACTTTGCAAACACACTGCTACCATCTAGTGGCCAAAATCTAAATTGCGCCTAAACTGCAATATTATATTGTGGCCTTTCTCTTGCATTTCAAAGATGATGGAACAAAAAAGAAAAATTAAAACTCATGTTTTTCTGTTTGTATTATCTTTTACCAGATCTAATGTGTTATATTCTCCTACATTAATTTCACATTTCCACAAACTTCACAGTGTTTCCTTTCAAATGGTGTCAAGAATATGCATATCCTTGCTTCAGGTCCTGAGCTACAGGCAGTTAGATTTGGGTATGTCATTTTAGGCGTAAATTGAAAAAAATGGTTGTGATCCTTATGAGGTGTGGGCCACATGTTCAGGAAGGAAATAAGGTAGGCTAGGCTAGGTTTGATTGAACATAATAATTAATATTCGGTCCAGTCGGCTGTCCATCCCTGGACTTTGTGTCAAAAATGGATCCATCTAAGGCAAGAAGAATAGGTTTGAAAGTAAACCGATTAGGCCAATGGTGTTATGCGGTGGATGATTGATGTTAGTCCTTGGAGAAGTTTGATGTAACTAGGTAGGCTACACCAGTGTTCACAATCAAGATCACCTTCGCAGTCAAAAAGCAAGCAGAGATCTACCGCTCAGATTTATTTGTAAAACAGTACTTAAAAAATGTAAGCCTATGCAACATTAATAAAAACTGTTATGTGGTAATGAAGTTTGTTCATTCGGGCTAACACATTATCACAGCATATTGGCTATATGCCTGGCCTGTCAATATTGTTCTTCTAAAACCATATTATATCTAAAAACTCGAGCTTTGATAACAAAATAGGTCAGTTGTTGTAATACTTGTGAGGTACAGCTGAGCATCATTTTACTGGACTGATGGTACCTGCATCTGATGGTCAGTCTCAGCGGAGGGAGAGAGCAGCAGAGGGTCCGCCTCTCACTGTCCCTGCTCTCTCCTTTCCTCCAGTGAGACATGTACAAATTCATGTTGTTTCTTTGAGCAAATGAAGTATTCCTTGATATTAAAATAGACATGACAAGCTGCTAATATTAAAAACGCAGGCCTATCGATAATCTCGTCTACTAATTCATTGCAGATGCGGCGCGAGAGGAAGTAGGGCGAACCTGTTTTATGTTTTGTAGAACTGTTAAATAAACAAGTGTTGACAGTGCTGAATAAAAACGTAAACGCAAACTCAAACAGCAGCTCTTTGCTGTATTCTTTGACAGTCTACTCTCTGGTCATGGTTTTAAAAGTTATTACATCTCATGTAGGCTGTGGGGTAGTGGAAGCTGTACTAGGCACGGTGGTTTGAGCTATCCGATTGGCCAGTACAGTGGACGCACTTGATTTAACTACAGCTATCCTTGTTCAGACAAATTAAATGGTTCAAAAATGGGAACACTTTGCTCCGCGAAAAATTGAATAAATAAATAAATAAAGGAGCGCGTCCGACTGGTTGTTGACCACTGGGCTACACCCACTAACACGGAAGTGAGAGATCCTTTTATTCGATCACAGATTCACATAATCTAGAGGTTCACATACTTTTTCCCACATAGAAATTGAATGTTGGATTAATTTCCTCAATAAAGAAAGTAAAAGGTACAATTGTTTTTTGTGTTATTTGTTAAATCAGGGTCCCTTTATCACTTATTCGGACTTAGATGAAGATCTGATTACATTTTGGGTAAAACTCATGCAGAAATACAGAAAATGCTAAAGTTCACAAACTTTCTCTCAGCACTGTAAGTAGATCACTGCAATTGTACTGTGTGTGTGTTGTGTGTGTATGTATGCTATAGTTAATTTCATGATTACATGGGATTATATATGAGAAATATTCTAGTACGCCTTAATATGAATATGTGTTTTGTTTTAAATCAGTAGCCAGTAATTCTATTCCCATCTTAAATTCGTTCACACTTGTTGTTTTAGACACCTCCATGTTGGATGTTCCAGCTCTGCTGCTGACCACTCTGGAGGAGCTCACTTAAGAACAGCTGAAGACATTTCAGTCTTACTTGACTATTGGCTGGATGTTAGGCTTTCCTCCCATCCCAGAGAGTCAGCTGGAGAACGCTGACAGACAGGACACAGTGGATCAGATGGTGAAGAGATACGACCAGGAGAGAGCTGTGATCACACTGATGATCCTGAGGAGGAAGCAGCTGGATGATCTGACAGAGAAGTTACAGAGAGATCACGGAGGAGGTAACACAGCAAGACAATAGATCTATCATTATACGATCGGTTCCATGATGGGATGTTAAGAGATTATATTCACACAAGATCCATCCTGTTGTTGCTGAGCTGAAAATGTCAAGTAAAATGAAAAACAAAAAGCAACTGAAAGCAACTGACTCCATAATAACATTGAATAGGCCCCTCTTTAATTTATTGTGTGTATCCAGGTGATGTCATTGTGATTAAACAGCACTCAAACTATCCTACATAAAATCAATAACACAGTGGTTCAGTGGTTTAAAGACACTTACATTTTTTGTCTTGCCAATTCACCCTCTGAATGGCACACATACACAATCCGTCTCAACTGTCTCAAGGCTTAAAAATCCTTCTTTAACCGGTCTCCTCCCCTTCATCTACACTGATTGAAGTGGATTGAACACATGACATCAATAAGGGATCATAGCTTTTCACTTGGATTTACCTGGTCTGTCTATGTCATGGGAAGAGCAGGTGTTCGTAATGTTTTGTACACTAAAAATGTTTAGTATTATTGGAGATGGACTTTGAGGGTTACTTACAATGTCTCTCTCTCTCTGCAGCTCTCTCTCTCTCTCTCTCGCTGTACCTCTCTTTCTCTCTGTAGCTCTCTCTCTCTCTGTAGCTCTCTCTCTGAAGCTCTCTCTCTCTGTAGCTCTCTCTCTCTCTCTGTAGCTCTCTCTCTCTCTCTTTGTAGCTCTCTCTCTCTGTAGCTCTCTCGCTCTCTCTCTCTCTCTCTCTGTAGGTCTCTCTCTCTCTGTGTAGGTCTCTCTCTCTGTAGCTCTCTCTCTCTCTGTAGGTCTTTCTCTCTGTGTAGCTCTCTCTCTCTCTCTGTAGCTCTCTCTCTCTGTAGCTCTCTCTCTAAAGGAAAGAAAAGGAAAATGACTGGTAGTTCTTCTAGTGTGTGTGTGTATGGAGGCATTGGGCAGCAAAGACACTGGAATCCAACAGGACAAAGATGAACTGTTCACAGTGAGGAGGAGAGGGGATGGAGACAGAAGAACAGAAAACAGGTAAACTTGACATGGAAACATACTTCTATATCAGCAATATTTTCTATCTATTCTGTTGATTTGAATCTAGGAAACCCCAAAGCTGTCAGTCCTAGATCTGGATGAGCTGTTGGACTGTCCTCCCATCCTAGAGAGACCACTGAAGATGGACTGTCCTCCCATCCTAGAGAGACCACTGGAGATGGACTGTCCTCCCATCCTAGAGAGACCACTGGAGATGGACTGTCCTCCCATCCTAGAGAGACCACTGGAGATGGACTGTCCTCCCATCCTAGAGAGACCACTGGAGATGGACTGTCCTCCCATCCTAGAGAGACCACTGGAGATGGACTGTCCTCCCATCCTAGAGAGACCACTAGAGATGGACTGTCCTCCCATCCTAGAGAGACCACTGGAGATGGACTGTCCTCCCATCCTAGAGAGACCACTGGAGATGGACTGTCCTCCCATCCTAGAGAGACCACTGGAGATGGACTGTCCTCCCATCCTAGAGATCCCACTGGAGATGGACTGTCCTCCCATCCTAGAGAGACCACTGGAGAAGGACTGTCCTCCCATCCTAGAGAGACCACTGGAGATGGACTGTCCTCCCATCCTAGAGAGACCACTGGAGATGGACTGTCCTCCCATCCTAGAGATCCCTCTGGAGATGGCAAACAGTCTCAACACAGAGGTAGCTGTGAACACCCAGGATAAAACCCAGAGGATGGACAAGGAGTTGGGAAGAGAAAGGGGTAACAGCTATACAGCTAATATATTAATTTGGAACAAACATCTGGAAGTTGTATAGAAAAACATGATGATTGATCTATATTTGGTTCTCTTTAGGTTCTCCTCTCTTCCTGGAACACCATCACATGGTAAGACCCTCACTGGACTGAGAGAAAGACTGAAATTAAAAACTATTCTTCACACTATTGGTTGAATTACAGTATCTATTGTTTCTACATTTTAGAGTTCTCCAGATGAATTTACACCTGAAATCCACGATCAGGACAACAGGGGAGAATACCGGTAATTTGATACATTTAATGTTTCTTATTGGTAGTTTGTATAAAAGAAGGACAATACCTTAAATCCAGGAAATGTAATTAAAATGTCATTCTTCACCATTGTTTGTTCTACAGGTTCCAGTGCCCCAGTGCAGGTCTGTTCCAGTGCAGTATAACAGGCCTGGTGTTTAGGATGGAGGGAGAGGGAGAGGTGCTCTATAGGACAGTCTCCTGGAACAGGAGGCTTCTAGCCCAGAGAGGCAAGAGACCTGCAGGACCCCTGTTCAACATTGACTGCCCTCTGAAGTCTGTCTGCCAACTACACCTCCCACACTGTCAGATTCATTCTGGTAAGTATTCATTTCAAGACCGAGCACGCCCCCATTCTCATCGACAGGGCTGTAGTGGAGCAGGTTGAGAGCTTCAAGTTCCTTGGTGTCCACATCACCAACAAACTATCATGGTCCAAACACACCAAGACAGTTGTGAAGAGGGCACGACAAATCCTATTCCCCCTCACGAGACTGAAAAGATTTGGCATGTGTCCTCAGATCCTCAAAAAGTTCTACAGCTGCACCATCGAGAGCATCCTGACTGGTTGCATCAGGCAACTGCTCGGCCTCCGACCTTAAGGCACTATAGAGGGTAGTGCGTACGGCCCAGTACATCGCTGAGCCCAAGCTTCCTGCCATCCAGTACCTCTATACCAGGCGGTGTCAGAGGAAGGCCCTAAAAATTGTCAAAGACTCCAGCCACCCTAATCATAGACTGTTCTCTCTGCTACCGCACGGCAAGCGGTACCGGAGCATCAAGTCTAGGTCCAAAAGGCTTCTTGACAGCTTCTACCCCCAAGCCATAAGACTCCTGAACAGCTAATCAAATGGCTACGGACTATTTGCATTGAGCCCCCCCCCCCCCCTTTTACGCTGCTGCTACTCTCTGTTTACTATCTATGCAAAGTCACTTTAATAACTCTACCTACATGTACATATTACCTCAATTACCTCGACTAACCAGTGCCCCCAAAAATGGACTCTGTACTGGCACCCCCCTGTATATAGCCTCACTAATGTTATTTTACTGCTTTTATTTTTTACTTATCTATTGTTTTCTTAACACTTATTTTTCTTAAAACTGCATTGTTGGTTAAGGGCTTGTAAGCATTTCACTGTAAGGTGAACACCTGTCGTATTCGGCGCATGTGACAAATACAATTGTATTTTATTTTATTTTATTTGTATTTTCTATTGTAATATATCTGAGAAAGATCTAAATGTTCTCTTTCTTTCCCAGGTGGTGGATGTGACTTCCTGTCTGTAGCCCATGTGACTGATGACATCATTGAGTTTATCCATCCTCTTGAGATAACAGAAACACACATCATAATAATCACTGGATTCTCTGCTTATGGCAACGTCCATGAAGAAGATGCTCCCATCTCCCCTATTCAGGGGCTTGTGGTCCTCTGTAGCTCAGCTGGTAGAGCACGGCGCTTGTAACGCCAAGGTAGTGGGTTCGATCCCCGGGACCACCCCATACACAAAAAAAATATATGCACGCATGACTGTAAGTCGCTTTGGATAAAAGCGTCTGCTAAATGGCATACTATACTATACTATATTGTTATTCCACCAACTGTTTGTCCCTGAAGAGAGGTCCATCCTGAATGTGTTGTTGCTTCCCAGTAATGTTGTGATCAGGGAGGTCAGCATAACATTTCAAACCCCACTTCTATCTGGCTGGAATTCCACCAAGCTGGCAGTGTCAAACGCACAACATGGAAACAATAACATGTGCCCTGTGCCTCAAGAATGCATGTTCATATACTAGTTGAAATCAAACCAGAGTCAAGTAATTACGTCAAAGTACTTGATGTGTGCTTGATTTAGCTTTGAGTTTGCACTTTTGTGACTGTTTCATTCGTTCCATTATGCAAGGAAAACTAAAGTAAGCACAGCTGATTGAAACTAACAAAGCAGATATGTATTGTGATGAAAACATATGACCTACAAGCAACATGTATTTGATTGAAGCACAATGTATCTGTCCATTGTTGATTCTCAAGGTGCAGGATGAGAGGAAGAGAAGGAATGGAGACAAAGAAACCTTCATTGAAACAAATCCTCACTGCAATCTAACCCCGAACAAACCATACATCCTCTCCACAAATATTACACATGGATACAGGATCAACCCAACAGTAATATCTATAAGCCATAAAGAGATTACAACTTTTGATATTTATTTAGCTGTGACCTCAGTATATTCACATTCCATGTAAGATCGTAGATACTGACTCTTGCTTTTTGTGTTCCAGACAGCAGAATTTTTGGATTTCTATCAAAACTACTTACTCACATTTCAGTTGTTGTTAGAAACTATAGTTAAAGAAGTTGAACTTCTTCTGAAAGAAAAGGAAGGTGATGAACTTGTATGGAACGGACTTGTCTGGTTGCCAGGTAACAAACATTCAGAGCTCAAATCCAATCAAATGAAGTCAGACCTGTTGTGCTGTTACATGTTTTTAGTTCTCTTACAGCGTTATTGTTATTGAACTATGATGTCATTATATCATATGATTATGGTTGGTTATAATGAATATACCTTTTATCAGATAGTAAAACACCTTCTCTTTTCATCCTCACCAACAGATGTCACCTCTACAGGTACTGTTGACCTTCCACTGACATTCACCATCATTATAAACCTCTCAATAACAAACTACAGATTCATCACCATTATAAACCTCTCAATAACAAACTAGAGATTCATCACCATTATAAACCTCTCAATAACAAACTAGAGATTCATCACCATTATAAACCTCTCAATAACAAACTACAGATTCATCATCATTATAAACCTCTCAATAACAAACTACAGATTCACCATCATTATAAACCTCTCAATAACAAACTAAAGATTCACCATCATTATAAACCTCTCAATAACAAACTAGAGATTCATCACCATTATAAAAGTCTCAATAACAAACTAGAGATTCATCACCATTATAAACCTCTCAATAACAAACTAGAGATTCATCACCATTATAAAAGTCTCAATAACAAACTAGAGATTCACCATCATCATAAACCTCTCAATAACAAACTAGAGAAAGTTAATCTTATCATCCTAGATAGGATTTTAATACATCATTTCCCCCTCCCAGTTTCAGCTGTTTCCCTTGCAGCCCCTCCTGCCAACCCCTCTACCCTCCCTGGTAGAGCCTTCATCAGAAATCACAGGATGGCTCTAAAGACTCGCCTGTGACTCTTGCAGCCCATATGCCTGCGTCTCCAGGATCGTGGGGTTCTGATTGACGAGGAGAGGGAGGAGGTGGTCAGCAAATCCACCAAGACCCTACAGAACCAAGCCCTGCTGGACATGGTGGTGAGGAAGGGGGCTCGCGCCCAGGAACACATCTACCAGGTCCTGAAGGAAGTAGATCCCTACCTGGTCGAAGACCTGGAAGAGCAGACAGTCTGAGACAGGTGCCATGGATACCACCTCACAACCTTTAGAAGATATCAAAACATTTATCAGAGACAGAGAGCAGTACTTTGAGGAGGAGCCATCCTGACCAGAGGTAGTTGGTGTGTAACGTGATTGGACCCCATTCTCACCAGCACTCCCATCAGTCTGTAGTTTACTATACAAGCCCCAGGTCTCAGGCAAGGTGACATCACTGTGAGGCTACTGTCTACCAGACAACCTACCTGTGTTACTCTGGTACACTGGCTGCAGACTACAAGATCAGGGACTAGATTCTTTATAGTCTCCCAATATAAAGGAGGAATGTTTATGTTTTATATTTGTAAATATCTGTATATTGAATTTCTATCTGGAACATGTTGAATGTTTAATCATCCTGGACAGGTCTCAGGCAACAACATGTGAGACTTAACATCTAGCAGACAACTGACTGGACAGCTGCACTGGCTGAACACAATATCAATATATATCTCTGTTTAGATATAGTGTATATGTTTATATAATGGTATCTTTAAGAGCATCTTTTAAATTGTAATGTCATTATGTTCCAACAAAAGGGACTAGTGGGCTCCTTTTATGATAGATAAAGAGAAATAGACTCTCACTCTTATAGGTAATAGAAATAGACTCTCACTCTTATAGGAAGTAGAAATAGACTCTCACTCTTATAGGAAATATAAATATACTCTCACTCTTATAGGAAATAGAAATAGACTCTCACTCTTACAGGAAGTAGAAATAGACTCTCACTCTTATAGGAAAGAGAAATACACTCTCACTCTTATAGGAAAGAGAAATAGACTCTCACTCTTATAGGAAATAGAAATAGACTCTCACTCTTATAGGAAATATAAATATACTCTCACTCTTACAGGAAGTAGAAATAGACTCTCACTCTTATAGGAAAGAGAAATAGACTCTCACTCTTATAGGAAAGAGAAATATACTCTCACTCTTATAGGAAGTAGAAATAGACTCTCACTCTTATAGGAAATAGAAATAGACTCTCACTCTTATAGGAAAGAGAAATAGACTCTCACTCTTATAGGAAATAGAAATAGACTCTCACTCTTATAGGAAAGAGAAATAGACTCTCACTCTTATAGGAAGTAGAAATAGACTCTCACTCTTATAGGAAAGAGAAATAGACTCTCACTCTTATAGGAAAGAGAAATAGACTCTCACTCTTATAGGAAATAGAAATAGACTCACTCTTATAGGAAAGAGAAATAGGCAAAAATGTAGCTCTTGAGATTAAATATATCCTTTTTTTTCTACCATATCGACATTAATCAGACTGAATCTCAGGGACTCATTTCCCTCTCAGGGAAATATGGTATATTTTGTAGTGTAGAAATATCTGGGATAGTGTTTTGTAATTGCATTAATCTATTTAATCTCTCTGTCTCAATTCAATTCAATTGAGATTACAAATATACAGTGCATTTGGAAAGTATTCACCCCTTGACTTTTTCCACATTTTGTGACATTACAGCCTTATTCTAAAATGGATTAAATAAAAACATTTACTCATCAATCTACACACAATATCCCATAATGACAAAGCGAAAACAGGTTTTTAGAAATGTTTGCAAATGTATTAAAAATAAAAAACAAATACCTTATTTACATAAGTATTCAGACCCTTTGCTATAAGACTCTAAATTGAGCTCAGGTGCAACCTGTTTCCATTGATTTTCCTTGAGATGTTTTTACAACTTGATTGGAGTCCACCTGTGGTCAATTCTATTGATTGGACACGATATGGAAAGGCACACACCTGTCTAAATAAGGTCCCACAGTTGACAGTGCATGTGAGAGCAAGAACCAAGCCATGAGGTCGAAGGAATTGTCCGTAGAGCTCCAAGACAGGATTGTGTCGAGGCACAGGGAAGAAAAACTTTTCTGCAGCATTGAAGGCCCCCAAGAACACAGTGGCCTCCATCATTCTTAAATGGAAGAAGTTTGGAACTACCAAGACTCTTCCTAGAGCTGGCCACACTGAGCAATCGGGGGAGAATGGCCTTGGTCATGGAGGTGACACTCCCCATCCAACCTGACAGAGCTTGTGAGGATCTGCAGAGAAAAATGGGAGAAACTCCCCAAATACAGGTGTCCCAAGCTTGTAGCGTCATACCCAAGAAGACTCAAGGCTGTAATCGCTGCCAAAGGTGCTTCAACAAAGTACTGAATAAAGGGTCTGAATTATTATGTAAATGTGATATATATATATATATATATATATATATATATATATATATATACAGTGGGGAGAACAAGTATTTGATACACTGCTGATTTTGCAGGTTTTCCTACTTACAAAGCATGTCGAGGTCTGTAATTTTTATCATAGGTACACTTCAACTGTGAGAGACGGAATCTAAAACAAAAATCCAGAAAATCACATTGTATGATTTTTAAGTAATTAATTTGCATTTTATTGCATGACATAAGTACAGTGGGGAAAAAAAGTATTTAGTCAGCCACCAATTGTGCAAGTTCTCCCACTTAAAAAGATGAGAGAGGCCTGTAATTTTCATCATAGGTACACGTCAACTATGACAGACAAATTGAGGAAAAGAAATCCAGAAAATCACATTGTAGGATTTTTAATGAATTTATTTGCAAATTATGGTGGAAAATAAGTATTTGGTCACCTACAAACAAGCAAGATTTCTGGCTCTCACAGACCTGTAACTTCTTCTTTAAGAGGCTCCTCTGTCCTCCACTCGTTACCTGTATTAATGGCACCTGTTTGAACTTGTTATCAGTATAAAATACACCTGTCCACAACCTCAAACAGTCACACTCCAAACTCCACTATGGCCAAGACCAAAGAGCTGTCAAAGGACACCAGAAACAAAATTGTAGACATGCACCAGGCTGGGAAGACTGAATCTGCAATAGGTAAGCAGCTTGGTTTGAAGAAATCAACTGTGGGAGCAATTATTAGGAAATGGAAGACATACAAGACCACTGATAATCTCCCTCGATCTGGGGCTCCACGCAAGATCTCACCCGTGGGGTCAAAATGATCACAAGAACGGTGAGCAAAAATCCCAGAACCACACGGGGGGACCTAGTGAATGACCTGCAGAGAGCTGGGACCAAAGTAACAAAGCATACCATCAGTAACACACTACGCCGCCAGGGACTCAAATCCTGCAGTGCCAGACGTGTCCCCCTGCTTAAGCCAGTACATGTCCATGCCCATCTGAAGTTTGCTAGAGTGCATTTGGATGATCCAGAAGAGTATTGGGAGAATGTCATATGGTCAGATGAAACCAAAATAGAATTTTTTGGTAAAAACTCAACTCGTCGTGTTTGGAGGACAAAGAATGCTGAGTTGCATCTAAAGAACACCATACCTACTGTGAAGCATGGGGGTGGAAACATCATACTTTGGGGCTGTTTTTCTGCAAAGGGACCAGGACGACTGATCCGTGTAAAGGAAAGAATGAATGGGGCCATGTATCGTGAGATTTTGAGTGAAAACCTCCTTCCATCAGCAAGGGCATTGAAGATTAAACGTGGCTGGGTCTTTCAGCATGACAATGATCCCAAACGCACCGCCCGGGCAACGAAGGAGTGGCTTCGTAAGAAGCATTTCAAGGTCCTGGAGTGGCCTAGCCAGTCCCCAGATCTCAACCCCATAGAGAATCTTTGGAGGGAGTTGAAAGTCTGTGTTGCCCAGCGACAGCCACAAAACATCACTGCTCTAGAGGAGATCTGCATGAAGGAATGGGCCAAAATACCAGCAACAGTGTGTGAAAACCTTGTGAAGACTTACAGAAAACGTTTGACCTGTGTCATTGCCAAAAAAAAAGGGTAGATAACAAAGTATTGAGAAACTTTTGTTATTGACCAAATACTTATTTTCCACCATAATTTGCAAATAAATTCATAAAAAATCCTACAATGTGATTTTCTGGAATTTTTTTTCTCATTTTGTCTGTCATAGTTGACGTGTACCTATGATGAAAATTACAGGCCTCTCTCATATTTTTAAGTGGGAGAACTTGCACAATTGGTGGCTGACTAAATACTTTTTTTCCCCACTGTATTTGATACATCAGAAAAGCAGAACTTAATATTTGGTACAGAAACCTTTGATTCCAATTACAGAAATCATATGTTTCCTGTAGGTCTTGACCAGGTTTGCACACACTGCAGCAGGGATTTTGGCCCACTCCTCCATACAAACCTTCTCCAGATCCTTCAGGTTTTGGGGCTGTCGCTGGGCAATACGGACTTTCAGCTCCCTCCAAAGATTTTCTATTGGGTTCAGGTCTGGAGACTGGCTAGGCCACTCCAGGACCTTGAGATGCTTCTTACGGAGCCACTCCTTAGTTGCCCTGGCTGTGTGTTTCGGGTCGTTGTCATGCTGGAAGACCCAGCTATGACCCATCTTCAATGCTCTTACTGAGGGAAGGAGGTTGTTGGCCAAGATCTCGTGATACATGGCCCCATCCATCCTCCCCTCAATACGGTGCAGCCGTCCTGTCCCCTTTGCAGAAAAGCATCCCCAAAGAATTATGTTTTCACCTCCATGCTTCACGGTTGGGATGGTGTTCTTGGGGTTGTACTCATCCTTCTTCTTCCTCCAAACACGGCGAGTGGAGTTTAACCAAAGCCTATTTTTGTTTTTCCGTCTCCCGCCCCCATTTAAA